GCGCTTCCTCCGGGCCGCCCCGCCGCGCCAGCTGCGGCCGCCCCCGCTCGCAGGCGGCCCTCGGCCCCTTCCGCACCCCTGCCCGCGCTTACCTGCAGCCTGGCACAGCCACAGACCTCCCCGTGGGCTCCCCGCACTCACTAATACGCAGGCCGGGGGCAGGATGGACGCGGGGCGCGGGGTTACGGTGGGTGGCAGTGTGTTTTGGATTTTTTTTTTTTTTTTTTTTAGTTTGGGGAGGGGGCGGGGTGAGGGGAGTCGTGCACGTCCCTGATGGTAGCAGCCCTCCTCCTGCACGAGCACAGAATGTCTAGCCGGTCGTGAACACCCCCACCGGCACCCCCCCCTTCCCGTGCATGCGCGGTGTGGGCTGGGGGGAAGGCGCGCCGCCGGCTTGCGCAGGCACGGAACCCAATCGGGCCTCCAAGTAGGCGAGCAGGGGAAGGGTTAATCCGGGACTTTGCCGACGCTTTCGTTGGAGTCTGAGAGGCCGCCCCCGTAGAGCCCTGGCCTGCGCACGCGCGCGCACGCGCGCGGCTTGGAGCGCGCGGAGCCCGCGCGCGGGAGAAGTAGTAGGCGGGGTGGGGCGGGGCTTCAGGAGGAGCCGAGAGGATGCACGAGCGCTGTCGCGGGCACTCGCCCCCCTGCGAGCGCCCGGCTCCCGCTCCTGGCGCGGAAAGCTCGAGGTGCGGACTCGCGCACCCAGTCCAGGCCCGGCGCCGGGGACGCGGGGCCCGGCGCCCCCGTGCGTGTGCATGTCCGTGGGTGCCGCCTTCGTGCGCGCTGGGGCTCGGCACGGGCGCGCGCAGACCGGACATCGCGGCTGCGTGGCTCGGCCGCGGCTCGTGGGGCGGGCGCGCCCTGTACACGCTCCTTTCGTGCACACCGGCCGACTCCGGGACGCGCGCTCGCGGGCGCACGGTCTTGGCTGGTGTCGCTGCGGCAACATTATATCCGGGTAATGGTAGACGCTCAGTAAACATTTGCAGAATAATGAAAAGATGGTATTTCCCATTTGGAGTTCAAGGGGCGACGCAGCCCGCCCCCGCATTCCCCGCTTTTACCCGGACACGCAAGGAAATGTCACGGGGGCTGGTGACGGTGGCCCCTCTCTAGCAGTCTGAAGCCTGAATTCGATTTCATCTGAAGCTCCCTCGGAGAGCTCTGATAACCCAGCGCTGTGTCTGTATTCCTGCTCAGCAAAAGTAATGGCTCCATTGCTAGTGAAACAACGTCGCGTTGCCTGTGAAGAGGTGGCTGGGTCTGTGCACGGCATGGAGACCTGGGCAGTCCCTCCCGCTCCCGCGTTTTCGGCTCACCTAAATACAGGAAGCCTGTGAGCGATATCGCATCCCTTAAAGACGCTTAGGTGCGTTAACAGCGTTTAGCAAAACCCCACGCATAATATAACATCTAAAAGTTACAGCAGGGCCCTCTCCCCGGGATTGTGTGGAGATTAAATGAGATGATGCTTGTAAAGCAGTTAGGATGGTGCCATGTACATAATAAACATTTAGGCCATGACGTTATGATTGGCTGTATTAATTTTTTAAAAGAAATTCTGTACCGCCTCAGTTGATTTTGTAACATTGACATTCGTGTAATTTTTCAGAAGGTGCTTTTATACACATCTTTTTTTTTTTTAATTGTAAAATATCACACAAAAAATTGCTGTTTCAAGCACTCTCAGGTACAATTGAGTGACATGAATCACGTTCACCACGCTATGCAACTATCACCCCTATCCATTTCCAATTTTTTATTATCCCCAACAGAAACCCAGTACTCCTTAAGCAACAATTCCCTATTTCCCCTTTCCTCCATCCCCTGGAAACCACTGATAACACTTTTATACACATCTGTTATGATGTTCACCGAAGCACGGAGGCAAGTAGATCTAATGAATGAGCCCAGATAGAGTAGATTAGTTCTAGAGTCAGACATACCAGTTCAGATACTGGATAAACGTCTCTAAACTTCAGTGTCTTATTCTGTAAAACGGAGGTAAGGAAGGCATCTAATAAGGCAGTTATGAGGATTAAATGAAACAATACCCAGTGAATTGCTCAGCTCAAATATTAGCTTGATAGTGTTAAATGACTTGTTCACTCTGAGGTAATGAGTTTAAGTGGCAGGGACACTTTAAGAATATGTTTTCCTTCTGTTGTTCAGGTTGAATAATTTCTACTGATGCATCTTCAAGTGCTCTGACTTCTTTTGTCATCTCCATTCTGCTGTTTAGCCCATCCTGTGAGGTTTTTCTTTTCATCTCAGTATCATTTTTCCATTCAAACATTTCCATTTTATTTTTCTTTATAGCTTTTATTTCTTTGCTGAGACTTTTTACACTTCTGTGTGTTTAAAGAGTGTTTCTAATTGCTTGTTAGAGAATTTTAACAATACAGGTAATCCCTGGGTTACAAATACCAGACTTATGTACACCCTAACCCAGGTAAAGTCTATCAGGAAAAAACTGACTCGGTGTTGCGGCCCCTGGGCTCCCACGATGGTCCTCGCTCATTTCTTCCACGTGCGCAGGTGCCGCAGCGGGTCCTTGGACAGATGCTGGTGGTGGGCAGGTCCCTGTGATATGGTGCACCCAGCCGCGGGCCCCAGCAGAAAGTGGAAAGCACACATGCACCTGCCTCCCTTGGAGCTCGGAAAGGGCCAGCCCCACTGCTCCTGTGTCCCAAGCACTGCCAGTCCACTCTACATGATGGGCCTGTAGGTGGGGACAGCCAGCGACCAGGATGGGGGTGCCCACTCTACGTGTTCTCCCAGTACAACCGGTCAGTGTGCCACACTGGGCACACAGCTGGGCCTCACCCCACCCTGCCGGGCCCTCCATGCTGTGCAGCCCGGGACATTACAGCGCTTCTCT